CTCCCCTCAGCCTCCTCCAGACTAAATAACCCCAGTTCCCTCAGCCGCTCCTCGTATGACTTGTGTTCCAGACCCCTCACCAGCTTGGTTGCTCTCTTCTGGACACGTTCCAGCATGTCACAAGCAGTACACCTCTGAAGCCAGATCTTTTTAAGGTGTGAGGACTCAACTTGATGGGAGGAGAAGCTGCTGTCAGGGCCCTGAGAGCATTATAGCCCTTAATTACTTTGGCCAGCCTCATCTGGGGCCTCCACCCACACACCCTCTGGCCAGCCGACCCATGGGGCTCCATGTAAACTCAGTCCTGGACATCCAGAGCTGACCTGAGCTATGCTGTAGGTGTGCATGTCTGGTCCTGTCTCCTGTTGTCCTGACATACGGGGCTGTTCTTCCTGCACAGACTGAACCTCTACTACAGGTAGCCTCATCTTCAGTCCTGCCTCCTGGATGGACCTGGGACATATAGGTAGTCCTGTGTCTTGGCTGGACCCTGGGCTTCAGTCTACCTTGCTGTGTCTGGAGCTGTTGCTGGATCCAGCCACAAGAACATACCTGTTCTCATTCAGGGACTTCAGGACTGCACCATAGTCATTGAGGTCACTGTCCTTGCCTGCACCATGGTCACATCTGCTCCTGGCTTGTCCTCCTGTGCAAAGCAGCCCTACTCCTGCTGTGCTCTGACACCCCTAGAGCTAGCGTAAATGACAAAAGCTGCCATCTGACTTCAGATAAAGACGTATTTGAAGTGGAGAAGAGAATTCACTGCTCTGCTGTGTGGCAGCATCAGAGTCAGGGTGCCAGGGCACAGCGAGGGCTGGTTGCTCCCTAAGGGGAGCCAAGCATAACAACAGGCAGGCACCTCACCAGCCTGGCCCACTCCCACCCACCCCAAGCAAGGTGAGCAGGGCAGCTCTGGTGATAGCAGTGAGGTCCCACCAAGAGTCCGATCACTAGGCGAGTCCACGGTGATGAGGCAGATCCAAGGTCAAGCTGGGAAGACAGATGCATGGGCTGGGGTCTGCATCAATGGGGCACAGGGCTGGGCTCAGGCATGGCTGCAGTGTAGCTCAGGTGAGAGGCAAGAGCCTCAGCTTAAAAGCAGCTCCCCAGGAAAGGAGCAGGGAGCTCCCACTGGGGTGTCTTGGCAGAGCTGTTTGGGAGAGCATAGGCAGGAGCAGCTTCTGGCTGTCTTCACAACAGTTCTTAGCAGACCTTGAGCAACCAGCTACACAACCTGAAGGGCACGGCGCGCCCTGGGCCTTGACCTGCTGTGCCCTTCAGTACATCAGTACTCATTGAATTACATCTCTATCCTGGACCCCAACCCTTCTCCTGCTACTCGGGACTTGAGAAAGATGTTTTCCCTAGTGGAAATCCTGCTCTGAAGGGCCTTGGTTGCCTAACAACAAATTCTCAGATTAGCTTAAATTTGACTTGGATAGCTCTTTGTATTTCACAGACTGCGTCCAGGTGACTCATCAACTCACTTATCCCTACCCTGCAGCAGATCCCAGGGAGTCCTTCTCAGCAAAAAACTCATGAACAACTTAATCTGCATCCTTATCCCAGCCCTCCTCCTATCCCTCAGGCTTCAGCAGAGCCCCTCTGGAATTCCAGCTTGGAAATAAATAATTTCCCTCACCTGCCCCCTAAGCTGCCAGACAAAGCAAGGGCTGCCCTGCAGTCCCAAAAGCTTACTGAACTGCACGTCTGGCCCTGAGCACAGCCCTAGCTCTCAGGGTTGAGGAGGACCTGAGGGGAACCCTTAGCCCTGCCTTACACAGTCACAAATCCCAGCCTTTCTCCTTTCCCGTAGAAAAAGACATGGCCATCTCCCACCCCAACTCACAGTTCAGGTTGCATCTCAGGCAGAGCAGCAGAGTACGAGTGCAGAGGAGTCCTGTATCTGGCTCTTTTTCTCAAGATTTCTTTCATACCCCTCAAAGGTGGGGAGGGTGGACCTCAGATTGATGAACTTAGAATTGTAGAATCCTAGAATCATTTAGGTTGGAAAAGACCTTGAAGATCATCAAATCCAGCCGTTAACCTAACACTGCCATCCCACCACTAAACCTTGTCCCTAAGCACTTTGTCTACCCGTCTTTAAAATACCTCCAGGGATGGGGACTCCACCACTTCCCTGGGCAGCCCGTTCCAATGCTTGACAACCCTTTCAGGGAAGAAATTTTTCCTGATGTCCCACCTAAGCCTCCCCTGGTGCAACCTGAGGCCATTTCCTCTCATCCTATCACCTGTTACCAGGGAGAAGAGACCAACCCCCACCTCACTACAGCCTCCTTTCAGGCAGTTGTAGAGGGTGATAAGGTTTCCCCTCAGCCTCCTCTTCTCCAGGCTGAACAACCCCAGTTCCCTCAGCTGCTCCTCATAACACTTGTGCTCTAGAACCCTCACCAGCTTCATTGCCCTTCTCTGGACACACTCCAGTGCCTCAGTGTCCTTCGTGTTAACCAGCACCCCCAGGTCCTTTTCTGCCAGGCAGCTTTCCAGCCACTCTTCCCCGAGCCTGTAGTGTTGCATGGGGTTGTTGTGACCCAAATGCAGGACCTGGCACTTGGCCTTGTTAAACCTTGTATAGTTGACCTCAGCCCATCGATCCAGCCTGTCCAGGTCCCCTTGCAGAGCCCTCCTCCCCTCGAGCAGATCAACCCTCCCGCCCAATTTGGTGTCATCTGCAAACTTACTGAGGGTGCACTCGATCCCCTCAATCCAGATCATTGATAAGGATGTTAAACAGAACTTCTGTCTTTCAGACTGGCTTCAGTATGACTTTGGGTAATGTTTGTATTTCTCAGCGTGCATCCAGCTGACTCAACAGCTATCATACGCCAGCGTGAGTATAAAAAAAGCCCGTGAGCAGTAAAACTGCCAGCTGTGTAGTTTTGTCTACTGCGATCCATATATATAACCATAACTTTTGAACGGCATATTGCCAGTATATCGGCTGGCAGATGCGCAGCCGAGGGTGTAAGCACCATCCAGCGAATCCCATTTTTGTGAGATAGGAGCTGTTACTTCAGCTTGGACAGCCTCGTTGCCATGACTGTTAAGAGTGTGACGACTCATGCAGATGTTCAAAACCAAACTAGCTGTTCAAAAGCCCAACTTTTGGCTGCAGCAGCAGGGTTTGTTTTCCCCTTTCTCCTCTGCTCCTTCCATCCTGTCGCTTGCAAGGGCAGAGATGGAGAGGGTACTCTTTTGTAATGGGAAATCACCGAGGGTCGTCTTCATTGCTTCAGGAAAATGTTTGGTTCTCACTAATCAAAAGAAAATACCCAGAGAAATGAGAAAAATTTAGGAATCCTGTCAACTCCAGAAGTTGGTCTTCTGTAGCCAGTCTCAATCTTTCCTCTAAGCCTGCTCGTGGACAAAGATGCAGACCAGCTCTGTGGGTTTATAAAGGGCGCTTTGACATGTTTCTGGGTAGTAAACGAGATGGCTGCTGACTCAGAAATTGCTGACGTGAGCTTTTTTAGCTCAGGTATATTTATTCAAAAATGTGTTAGTCGTTTGTTTTCTGTGTTAAAATACGGTTCACGACATAACTTAGGTTGTATGAGAAGAAGAAAGAGAGTACTGTGCTGCAAAAGTTTCCTACGGGATGCAATGAAGTGAGATACAAAAATGCTACTAAAATGAGAAAAAAAATAATCAATAGCTTTGCCATCTTAGTCATTTGACCCATTTGACCCTACACCTTCAGCTACGACAGCAGTGCCTGAATGGAGACTTAATAGTCCAAACTGCAAACATATGCTGAGCCAGGACTAAGAACCAGTTCATACTGTATTTCTAGTTTGGCTAACGAGCAGTTACGGCACCTTCATTACGTCATTTCACTTCTCTGCATCCCAGTTTCATAGAAGGAATAAAGTGTGCTGCCCTTATTTCATAAAGCACTTCCAGAGGTACTTATCAGAATCTCTAAAACTAGGAATTACAGCTATATTCCACAGAAAGACATACCTTTTTAAACAGATGAAAGAGCTGGCATCTCTCATACCTCTCGAGTAGGTGAGACTTCACCTGGAGTTGGTGAGACCTCACCTGGAGTACTGCGTCCAGCTCTGGAGCCCTCAGCACAAGAAGGACATGGAAGTGTTGGAGCGGGTCCAGAGGAGGGCCACAAAAATGATCCGAGGGCTGGAGCACCTCTCCTATGAGGACAGGCTGAGGGAGTTGGGGTTGTTCAGCCTGGAGAAGAGAAGGCTGCGGGGAGACCTGATTGCGGCCTTTCAGTACTTGAAGGGGGGCTATAGGAAAGATGGGGAAAATCTTTTTAGTAGGGCCAGCTGTGACAGGACAAGGGGTAATGGTTTAAACTGAAGCAGCGTAGGTTTAGACTAGACCTAAGGAAGAAATTCTTCACAATGAGGGTGGTGAAACACTGGAACAGGTTGCCCAGAGAGGTAGTGGAGGCCCCATCCCTGGAAACATTCAAGGCCAGGTTGGATGGGGCTCTGAGCAACCTGATCTAGTTAACGGTGTCCCTGCTCACTGCAGGGGGGTTGGACTAGATGGCCTTTAGGGGTCCCTTCCAACCCAGAACATTCATACATCCAAGCTAGGAAACACATATGAGTAATTGCACACTTTATTTTATAAAGAACAAATCTAGAACTTTACTTTAAAGCAGACACCAATAACATGCATGAGATTAAAATGAAATACGGAAATATAGGTAGGTGCAGATTATGTGTACATGCATGAAGTTGATGTATAGTGCTGAATGGCATGGATTTTAAAGATAACTGGTATAGAATCAGGCAGCAATGAGGTGAGATACAGAAATGCTGCTGAAATTAAAGATTTTATTAGCCATGCCCTCTTACGGTTTTCTGAACACCTTTAGTACCTTCAGCATGACCAAAACTGATATTCAGCAGCCTACCTTGCGTTTTTATGTAGGATGTGGGGTTTTCCACCTCCAGTTTTCTTTGAATCTAGCCTAGCATAGTGCTAGCTAGAGAACTGATTGTTCTTCAGGGGGCCTGTATGCAGTGAGCAGGGGATATTCCTCTGGCTCCTGACAGTCAAAAGTCCACAGCGCAGTTGTTATTTACCCAGGGAACAGCACACACCGGCGCTTTCACTGCTGATGCCAGCTACCAAGCTTAGCCTCCAGGACTCTGACGCCAGTACAGCCGGTTTTGAACTCTACAGAGCTGGGAAAAGCTGTGTTTACTGCAGACAAACCTGCCCGCACTGTTTCTCTTAGCCAGAGCTCATCTTAAACGATGAGCTCTCGCCGTCGTTGCAAAAAGGAGAGAATAAACTGGTATATAATCCCTGTAATGTAAGTTGTTACCACCCGCGTTAAGTATTCTGAAACGGGTGACGGGTCTATGCACTGAACTTGAGGCCCTGAAAGGCTTCAGAGGAGACTTCAGAGCAGCCAGATGAGGCCGAGGGCCCTGTGGTTCATCACAGCAAAAGCCTTTCTGCCGTTTGGTGAGGCCTCACCCCACGGTGCCGGGTCCAGGCGCAGAGGTCCTCCCTCTCGGTGGATGCTGGGGCAAGGATGGGCGTTGGACGCCTGCTTTAGATCGGCTCCCAAGCAATGCTTGAAACAACGCACCAGTGACGGGCGGAAAACGGACTCCACAGTCTGTAAGACTGTAAAGTATAAAGTAGGTATGTTTATTCAGCGCTGGGCAGCACCGGGGGGTAGTCCCACCAAAGTCGTGCACGCGTGTGTGGTAGCTTGCCTTGAAGTTATACTACAAAGTGTTACATATACATAAGATTCCCAAATACGCCTATACATATGCATGACTTGTCCCCGCTTCGTATTAAAATTAGCCCCAAGAAGTCGTTTCCATAAACTCCTCCCGACTGCGCTTGCACAGTGTCTCCTGGTGGGGGTCGTGGGGGTCGTGGGGGATGAAGGCCGATGACTCCTCTTCATCACCACTACTAATCCCTTGTTCTTGCGCAGGCTCAGTTGCTCCTTGGCTCTTGTCCAAACTACAGGCTCGGTTTTAGCTGGTTCTCAAGGCAACTTCTGGGTTCTTACCAAGAACTTGTACAATAGACAATAGCGAGCACAGTTTTAAGCAACATCTTCTCTACTAGGATCCCCTTTTCACCAGGCTGTTACAAAAACACTTCAGCCAAAGTACAAGAACGCGGAGTTGTCTGCGTCTCCAGCAAACTGGCATCGTAGTGCAGTCAAGCAACGTTTCTAAGGGACGGCCCAGCACACGGTGGGTTTTTCCTCCAGAAGAGGGGAAAAAAACCAAAAAACCCCAGCCTTTGCTCAGGGCCCTGCACGCAGGGCGGCGCCGCCCTCCCCGCCTCACGCCC